GTATTTATTTATCTGAGAGAATGGGAGACAGAGAGCATGAGAGGGGAAGGGTCAGAGGGAGAAGCAGACCCCCCGCCGAGCAGGGAGCCCGATGCGGGACTCGATCCTGGGACTCCAGAATCATGACCTGAGCTGAAGGCAGTCGCTTAACCAACTGAGCCACCCAGGCGCCCCTATTTACTTATTTTAGAGAGTGTGTGTTTGTGCATGAGCAGGAGAGGGGTGGTAGAAGAGGGAGAGAATCTCAAGCAGACTCTGTGCTGAGGGCAGAGCCCCCCACTCAGGGCTCAGTCTCACAACCCTGAGGTTATTTCCTGAGCTGAAACCAAGAGTCAGATGCTTAACCCACTAAGACACCCAGGCACCCCAACACACACTCCCTTTTAACAGCTGAACCATTTGAAAGTTCTAGACATCATGACACTTCTAAAAACTTCAGCATGCTTTTCCTTTATGAATATGATACTATTATCATACCTAAGAAAATTAAAAAGTACTTTCTTATTGGCATCTGTTATTTAGTCTTATTCAGATTTATCCAGCTGTTCTAAAATGTCTCTTGTAACTTTTTTCAAAGCAGGTTCCAAACATAGTTCATGTTTTGTCTTATTTGGTGTAGACCACTAGCTGACTGGGAACAGTCTTGCCCTCCAGGGGGTAATTGGCCATGTTTAACTCCATTTTAACTTTTTCCTTTATCCTTTGTATTTCCTATAAGTAAGAAGTTCAGATTTGAAGTTTAATGCATCTTTGTTTTTTATACTTCATATTGCAGTGCATCAAGAGGTTAAGTCTGGCTATTTGGTTCAAATAATGAGTGTCAGATATCTACAGTGTAATTTTTCCTCTGTGATTCTTTGACAGCTTGCATGTCCTGTTACCCAGGATGTTTTAGTATATCTATTGATGATCCTTACCCTAATCAATTATGGGGTTGTAAAGAATGATTCTTTTAAAGATGTCATTCTTTATTACTGGCATTCTTCAGTAAGAAAGAGCCTTTCTTCTCTCATCTCCCCCTTTTAGTAGTAGTAAAGATTCATGAATTTTTACTTATTCAATATATTGAAGTCAATTCTAGTTATTATTTTTTATGCTCCAAAATTTATGCAGGTGTTGTCTCCTTGAGACTGTCTCCTTTGTGCCTTTGAGGTGATCTCATTAATCATTCGAGCACTTTCTTGTTTTCTCAGCTCAACTACATGTCTCAGGCTTGTTTTTAATTTTTCCAGCCCTAGTCATAGAACTAGCCATTTCTCCAAATGCCCTAGGACCTTTTAGTTGGGTGTGGTATTTAGCACTAAAGTCTGGGAGTGAGGTATGCTTATTACTACTGGGTTATCATTATTTCTAAGCCCTTTTAATCAACAGAGCTATAAAATACTTTTTAAATTCTGAGTTCATATTGATATGTACAATTCAAAATTAACCTAAGTTTTTTTCTTTATATTTTATATATTTTTATTTTTTATTAAAAATTTCAGTTTCAGCGTGGGTGGCTCAGTCAGTTAAGCATCTGCCTTCGGCTCAGGTAATGATCTCAGGATCCTGGGATGGAGCCCACATCAGGCTCCCTGCTCAGAGGGGAGCCTGCTTCTCCCTCTCCCTCTGTCCACCCACCCCCAACCCCTCTACCACTTGTGCTCTTTCTCAAGTAAATAAAATATTTTTTAAAAATTTCAGTTCCTGGGGCACCTGGGTGGCTCAGTTGGTTAAGCATCTGCCTTTGGCTCAGGTCATGATCCCAAGGTCCCAGGATCAAGCCCCACATCAGACTCTCTGCTCAATGGAGAGCTTGTTTCTCCCTCTCCCTCTGCCTGCCACTATGCCTACTTGTGCGTGCTCTCTCTCTCTCTCTCTCTTTGTCAAATAAATAAATTTTAAAAAATTCAGTTCCTATTGATAATAATGTAGTTCTTTATTTGCTTTATCCTACAGGAAATATCCAATGTTGCAGAATTATAGTAATTAGTATTCTACATGAATTCTTAGCACTTTAACCTGCTGAGTGAAGTTAAAGATGTCTTTTGTAGTTCGTTTTTTGTTCCTTAAAATTTACCCCACTGAAGATGTATAATCAGAGTATCATGTTCAAAATTGACTTGAAATAATTATTTTCTTTATATGGTTATGTTAACATTTGATATACAGTTACATTCATTTATTTCTGTGTTCAGTGTTAGAGTTTGCTCTTTTGGCTTGATTTTGTTTTGAATATGTAAAACATTTACAATTTTTCAAAAGTCAAATCTATATAAAAAGCTGTACTCAGAAGTCTTGCTCCCATTTCTATCCCTTCTATCCCATAGCCCTTGTAGATAACCATTTTCATTAATTTCTGGTTTATCCTTCTAGTGTGTGTGCTTTTGTTTTTGTTTTTTACAAAACCAAATATATAGAGAGAGGTAGTTGTTTCTCCTATTTCCTTAAACAAAATGTATCACTATGTATGTATTGTTCTGTTTCTTTTACTTAATTATTCTGGAAATTTCTCCAATTTGAGTTTCTGCAGTTCTCCTTTATTCTTTATAGTTGCATTATATTTCATCATATGGTTGTACTGTATATATCCACTAGATTGCTTCTAATACAAATAAACCTGCAGGAAATAACTTTTCATATTTACATGGAGTATATCTTTTTTTTTTTTTTTTAAGATTTTCTTTATTTATTTGTTAGAGAGAGAGCATGAGTGGGGGGTTGGGGCAGAGGGAGAGGGAAAAGTAGACTCCCAGCTGATCAGGGAGCCCAACTTGGGGCTCCATCCCAGGACCCTGGGATCTTGACCTGAGCCGAAGGTAGACGCTTAACCAACTGAGCCACCCAGGTGCCCCTACGTGGAGTATATCTTGAAAGTAGAGTCCTAAAACTGGGATTGCTGACTCAATGGTTGGGTGAATAACTGATTATATTAGATGTCAAATTCCCCCTCCATTGGGAATCCTTTGGATAATAATCCCATGGGATCTTAGACTCCTACCTCAAATGTAGGGGAATATCTTATCTCTCCACAACTTACCAGTGTCAGATTTGTCAATTTTTGCCTAAGAGCAAAAGAGTGAATTCCAGCATAGTTTTCACTTGCTTTTGTCTTATGAGGGATATTGGAAATTGTTTCATATGTCATTTACCTTTTTTGTTCTTTGACCTGGATGTTCATATCCATTGCCCATTTTCTGTTACAGAGTTTTGCTTTTTGTCTTCTCCATTTTTAGTTTTTTATACCAGGGAGATTAGCCTCTTATGATATAAGTTACAGATATTTTCTCCAAGTTTGTCATTTGTATTTTGACTCTCCTGCCCCCACATGAAAATTAAGTCTTTTCTCATTGCTTCTGGAAAAGCATTTGCTATTTATTACAGAGAAATTTATATTTTTTTGTAGTGCATATATTGTTTTAGTTTTTACATTTAGACCTTTGATTCATTCGTGTAGAATTTATTATGGTGTACAGTTTAAAGTATTGACCCAAATTTATCTTTTTCCAAGAGGCTATCCAGTTCCAACACTGTTACTTAAAATGCCCATTTTTCTCCAACAGTTTAAGTTGGAGCAGTTTAAGATAAAATCTCTATCATGTACTAAATATCCGTGTATATATGGATTTTTTCTGAACTTCATTATATTCTAAGTGTTCATATGCCTTACACACTTTTAATTGTAGTGGTTTTATGTTTTAATATTCATAGGGCCAGCTCCCTTGTTGTGCTGCTTTTTCAGGATTCCCCTAGCTGTTCTTGCCCATTTGTTTTTACATATTAGAATCAACTCATCTGGGGCGCCTGGGTGGCTCAGATGGTTAAGCGTCTGCCTTTGGCTCAGGTCATGATCCTTGGGTCCTGGGATCAAGTCCCGCATCGGGCTCCCTGCTAGGCGGGGAGCCTGCTTCTCCCTCTGCCTCTGCCTCTCTCTCTCTCTCTCTCTGACTCTCATGAATAAATAAATAAAACATGTAAAAAAAAAATTAAAAAAAAAAAACAACTTATCTGGCTTCACAAAGTTTTTTATTTTTTTAAATTTTTTAAATTTTAAAAATTTTTATTTATTTATTTATTTGAGACACACAGAGAGAGCAAGCACAAGCAGGGGGAGCAGCAGATAGAGAGGGAGAAGTAGGTTCCCCGCTGAGCAGGAAGCCCGATGAGGGGCTCAATCCCAGGACCCTGGGATCATGACCTGAGCTGAAGGCAGACACTTAACCGACTGAACCACCCAGGCACACTCCCAGAAAGTTTTTTAAAAATTATTTTCAGTGGAAACATGTTAAATGTAGATATTCACTTAGAAAGAATTGACAGCTTGGACATGTTGATGTCCAAGTACAAGAGATGTCCTCATCTTGTTCAAGTCTAGTCTACTTTTGGGACTTCCAGGAGTTTAAAAAATATATCCTGATAATAGGTGTTGCATTCCAGGTATTGTATTTTTTCTGTCACTGTTATACATGGGACCTTTTCTTCCACTGTATCTTTTAGCTGGGTATTTTATATATATCTATAAGGCTTTCATTTTATATCCCATTACCATATTGATTTTTTTTAATCATTCAATTTTAGCACTGAATTTCTTGTATTTTCCAGTCATACTATCATATCATCTGCAATTAGAGGTGGTTTACTTCTTACCTTCTGGTTCTTACACTTCTGATTGTTTTGTTCTGTCTGATTTGCTGGCTAACACTTTCAAAACAAGGTTAAATAGTTGTGGGGATGGTGGGCATCCTTGGCTTGTGTGTGCTTCCCATCCCTTGAACAACCCATAAATTAATAGAAGTAAAGGTCCTTGCAATGCAAAGAATGTAGTTCTAGATAAAACCATTCCCCCAAACCAGTAGAATGAACCATCTGAAAATATCGTATACTACTGGGAAGGTACAGTGGGCTCCGGTTAAGTGACCATATTCTTAGTTCCAGTTTTCTGTAATTTCAGCCTTCCAAATGAAGTTGGGGCTTTTTCATATGCATTTGTTGGATTTAACTGTATGCTTTTGTAACTTTTTTAAAATATGGAATGCTTCACGAATTTGCATGCCATCCGTGCACAGGGGCCATGCTAATCTCTGTATTGTTCCAGTTTTAGTATGTGTGCTGCCTAAGCGAGCACCTTGTGTAACATTTTTAATGAGACTCACCCGGCCTTGGACATATGATGTTGTAGGTTGGCTTTCCTCTTGCCTGTTTGTATGCTCAGGCCATTGGTAATTAGATTTATACTCTGAAAAACAGGCCCAGGAAATCATTATGTTTATTTTCTTCCCCTCAATAAAGCTAACTCAGACAACATTAGAAATTATATGTATGTCTTTAAAATTGTATTTTAACTGCTTAATTTTTATAAACTGTAGGATGGGAGCATGGTCAAAGTTCTTGTTTCTATTTTTAATAAAATAGTAGCATAAAAAACAGTGTATTTAACTTAGATAAATATACATATATATGATCTTTTTTTTTTTTTTTAAGGATTTTATTTATTTATTTATTTGATGGAGAGAGAGACAGCGAGAGAGGGAACACAAGCAGGGGGAGTGGTAGAGGGAGAGGCAGGCTTTCCGCCAAGCAGGGAGCCCGATGCAGGGCTCAATCCCAGGACCCTGGGATCATGACGTGAGCTGAAAGCAGCCGCTTAACGACTGAGCCACCCAGGCGCCCCCATATATATGATCTTTAGTGCCTAATCTGTTATAGGTGCTGAGTACTTGTAAGTTGAAGCTGACAGACCAGAAAACTGCATTACCTCCTCCCTTTTTATAGGATACCTCTTTAGTGAGCATGATATCTCCGAAGAAATGAATTAGATGGTAGATTAGATAGGTTGGGGATCTGGTGCTGCTCAATTAGCTTTTCCCAATCAGAGACATTCCATTGGTCCTAACAAAGCCTGTGAAAGGTGGATCAGTGCTACTAGAAAAACAAAACATGCTTTATTTTGAATGAAGCTTGTAATTGATTTGATATGTAAAAGAAAACACATTTCTCAGCCCCGGTAAGACATGGAGTGCTATAATGGAGAATGAGCTCTGGACTTTGAATCTAGTCATCTGGGTTATAGTCCTGGCTCTTTTTGATCTTGAGCAAATCATTTATCCTCGTTAGGTCTTCCTTACCTTCCCATCAAATAGTAAGGTTGGCCGGTACCATCAAAGATCGCTTCCACATCTAAATTCTCAGATATTAGAGAAGTTACGGGTATGGTTTTGACTGTTGGCATGTTGATGCTCTTAGTTTAAGCATTTTAATCCCCATATCCCTATTTTTATTTTGGCAGTAAGTTACTTTAGGTAAAGGGAATATATGTAGTATGTATGTGTTTGTGTAGTGCATTCTAAATTTACATGAGAATAAAATACAAGTATAGTTTTAGGCCAGCACCATCTGTTATGGAAGAGTTCTGTGGGATCTATTCTTAACTCTTGGGAGTGACAAAAATTTCCCTTTCGTTTTCATGATCTTCAGGCTTTAATCAGTCTAAATATGGGAACATTATCCCAATCCTATTCCTTGCTGCTTTCAAGTTTTCAGAATTCTGTGCAACAACGTTTTGTCCTTTGATGGTGAGCTCTTTAAATATTCAGTCTTTTCCCTTAGGCTGTTGTCTTATCGAAACGGAATGCTCTGGTTTTCAATCTGTTACAGCTATTATTACGTGAGTCATATCTTGATATTTACCTTACTTATACATTATGGCTTCTCCTTTATTCATTTGAAGAGTGCCAGTATTAAATCAGGGAACCAAAGGGCAGGAAACCAAAAAGGGAACCAAAAGCAGGAAAACAATTGCAAACATACTTCATTTTAGAGATCGGGTTTTTTTGTTTCGTTTGTTTGTTTTAAGATTTTATTTTATTTGACAGAGAGAGAGAGGGAGAGAGCACAAGCCAGGGGGAGAAGCAGAGGGAGAAGCAGACTCCCCGCTGAGCAGAGAGCCCGACGCGGGCTCGACCCAGGAACCCTGTGATCATGACCTTTAGTCAAAGGCAGACGCTTAACCAGCTGAGCCACCCAGGCGCCCCATGTATTTTATCAATAAAATGTCAAAGTAAATTTTTTGCAAATTCATTCAATTGTGGAGTAAAAATAAATATTTAAGATTATGTTGCTATTTGAATCTGAAAAGCAAACAGTTCTTGGGTTTTCTGCATGTTAGATCTACTTACTTGTCAGAAGGGGAAGAAGTGCTGACCATTTATAAGGAAGGATAAGATGAGTAGATGAATGTGATTAAGAGGCTTCTGAGATGGTGAGTCTTTGGCAAAGTTTTAGAAAATAACTGGATTGATGGGGGAAAGAAGGGTATTTTCCGAAATAATAAAATTAGGTTTCTTTCTTAATCTTTTGTTACATGTTAAACCATGAATAGAAAAACTTAGTGTGGTTGGTTGCCTGCAATTTAAAGATTTAAAACAGAAGTTTGGGGAATAAGAACTGTTACCTGTCTTTAAATCCATTGTTAGAGCGAAATACTATACTTAGTCCCAGATATATGAATGGTACTGAGCATCTCTCTTGGTATCAGCAGTAAATGATGTATGAAACAGATAAATCTGAAAGTTTCAGAGCATAAGATTTAATCTAGTTGAGTATACATAGTTTACATCTTTTTCTTCATAATTGAGAATGGTTGACTTGGTGCAAAAAAACATAGCTTCTTAGCTGGTATACTGATTTGTATGTCCAGGTATTTTCAGAAATTCAGGTTTATGATAGCTAAAATCAAAGCACAACATTTGGTGACCAATTCCTAGAAAATATAAACGCATAGGATGTGCATGACAATCATAAAACAGTTCTTTTTAAAATTAAGGAAGGTACTTTATGTTAAATTCTCAGAATGAGAATTCTCAGAATGAGCCACGTGGGCACGCCCTAAAATGAAGCCTTTAACCTCATATTTTGTAATGAAAATTTTGCACTGCTCAGCGGTTTTGCTAAAATAAAATTTTATGTTGTAAACACTTAAGTATTTTAGTAATGGACATTCAGTAGACATTCTCTATTACATGTTTGTGACATAGAGAAAAGTAGAGACTGAGACAGAAAAGGAAGCTTGCTTGATGTCACAAGCATTTAGTTTGTCTTATTTACTTTTACATAAAGTAATGACTTTGGAACTTTCCAGCATATAGATTTGAAATGGATTTGGAATCATTATCCTTAAGCATAATGTATCATCTGTCCTTTTTATGGGACTTTGTTCTTATGCCTTCTATAGGTGGGAGAGGTAAAACAAAGCTACCTCATATTCATAAGGAAGGGGCTTTTACTTTTTCCAAAGTATTTTCTACCCTTTTTTTTTTTTTAAGATTTTATCCATTTATATGAGAAAGAAAGAGAGCACGAGCAGGGGGAAGGGCAAAGGGAGAGGGAGAAGCAGACTCCCCACTGAGCGCAGAGCCCTGACAAGGACAGCAACAACAACAACAACAATAATAATGCAGGGCTTGATCCCAGCGCCCCGAGATCACGACCTTAGCCAAAGTCAGACACTTAGGTGCCCCTGTTTTCTACCTTTATTATGAGATTGTTTTTCTGTTGAATCCCTCTGTTTGAGGGCCTCTTTTGGCCTCTTTTGGTCTCTTAGGTTTAAGTACTGAGATGGTAGCGGTTTTGTTGGTTTTGCCTTTGCTTTGTGATTCTCTAACAGTTACAGAATTATAACAAGTTATCTCTCGGGTACATTTAATATATGTGAGGCTAGACAGTTCTCTGGAACAAGTCAGGAAAACCTGAAACTATTCAAATAGGTGTCTTATTTGAATATTGGATAGATAAATTTGTGTAGTAGATATTCATTTGACTATTAAATAGATACCTATTCAGATAGGTATTTACCTTTTGTGTCCTGTCTTCTACTCCCTATTCAGTAAACTAATATTGAGTGTCGTCCCTAAACTATTACTGAATTATCTAAAGGTTAATATAACCGGGGCGCCTGGGTGGCTCAGTCGTTATGCGTCTGCCTTCGGCTCAGGTCATGATCCCAGGGTTCTGGGATCGAGCCCCGCATCGGGCTCCCTGCTCAGTGGGAAGCCTGCTTCTCCCTCTCCCACTCCCCCTGCTTGTGTTGCCTCTCTCACTGTGTCTCTCTCTGTCAAATAAACAAATAAAATCTTTAAAAAAAAAAAAAAGGTTACTATAACAGAAAATAAATTTGCCTTTCATTTTACCTTGTTGGTAGAATCAGTAGGGGGTGGATTGTGATTTTCTGACATATTCTGAACATCTTTTAGAGAATAATGTGCTGTATACATTTATTTATTATTTGGAAAATACAGGGGAAAGTCATTAGTATAGACTGTGTTTCTCACATTTGAATTAAACTTGTTACACACATCTATAGTGTTACCCTTAGTGGATGTTCAGTACATATTTGTTAAATAAGGATACTTGGGTTCTTTTTCTAGCTCTGCTACTAAATAGACCATTCTCCTACTTTGCTGTCCCTACCCTTTTAGAATTCAGCTGGTTGGCATTTCACTAGGATAAGTTACAGGGCCAGAAAGTACGAGGAATCAAAACACTGAATGTTTTAAGAGAAAAAGAGCTTGCAATGGCATGGTGTGCCACTCCGAAGGTAGAGGATGAGACCTGATGTGTGCTGCCTTGAGATAAAATGGCCAGATGAGGTGGAAAGAGCATGGTTTAATCCAGGTGTCAATCCAGATACACTTTGCTTGCAGCATTAGTTTGTTCTGTCATCAGGAACATAGCCTTGTGTAGGGTATAGAGCTTGCCCAGGAACTGGAGTAATGTTGTTTATTTCTGTTATGAATAACCCAAATTTCATTTGGTTCTGGGCCAGTCAGGGAGTGGATAATTTCATGGCTTCTTTAGAACTATTTTGAGAGTAATTTCTTTTAAATTAGTATTCTTTCTGCAGTTAAATATAGAACATTGAATTTTGATGTACACCCTCTCCTTCCCACCACTCTGTCATTTACTTCCCACCCACTCTTACCCAGGACTCCATCAAGCTTCAAATTTCTTTTTACCAATTTTTCCATCTGTCAAACTATTTCTTATCTATGGCACCGTATAAGATTAAGAATGGCTCTCTATGTCAGTGTGAGATCAGTGATCATAGCCCAGGTAAGTATCTGGGTGAAA